CGGGAGTTGTCGAGTATAATTGACGGGTTTTATTTTTGGTCTAGCAGGTTTTGAGTTTAAGGATAATCTGCACCTTATCATTCTGTGGTCTGTAAAGAAGTTCAGACTTTTGATTATATCAAAGCTTTTGATATTTTGATATTTTTTGGCTTATTTGTCAGTATGTAGTCAATTTCATTGAACTGCTTTCCATTAGGAGAACGCCATGTCCATTTTTTGTGTGGTTTGCACTGAAACATGCTGTTTATGATGTAGTAGTTTTTTTCAAGGGTGAATTCGGCCAGTTACACAGAGTAAAATGTAGGCTGAACGAACAGTATTTAAAAAGTTTTTGTACAGTTACTGGAGTAATTTACGGCGATGGAGAAACTGTGAAAAAATAAAGCGGTCTTTACCGAGGTACATGTAAAAGTACCCAGTTTCAAGTTTCAAGTTTCAAGAATTTATTGGTAAAAATAAATTTTACAAGTCAAATGTACTTAAATATTCGAAATGTCCCTAAATATTCCATTTTATATCTATAGGTACTTAAATATTTCATTTTCCATAATTATAAATTAATAATATTTGGTTTATAAATTAATAGTTTGTTTTTTCTATGGTTAGGTTGACCCAATCTCATCGAAGAATTCTTTGAGATCAAAACAAGCCATATTTTGTAGTTTTATTTTTAGTTGTGAAGTAAATACCTTGTCACTGTCCACATTTTTTAATTTATCAGAAGTTTGTCGGAAGTACGAAATTTTGTATATGGAAATAAGATATCGAAAAAATTTGTCTGAAATGACTGCCGGCAGCTTTTGTTACTAAAGATACCGCAATAGACAAATGATTGCATCGCTGTGCTCAGTAGATTGAGTCGGCGTACTTGTGAAAATGCGGAAATCAAAACCTGACAGAACCGGAATATCTTTTTACAATTTACTTTAAAATGCACTTCAAGCTATCAAAATTCATAGTTTGAAGATCATTGTTTTCATGGTGTCTGTGGATAGTGCTCGATCTACCGAGCGTAGTGTAGCAATCATTTATTTAAGGTTACCGTTAACACCGCTTCAAGATGTTCATCAATTCGAAAAATTTGATGGCAGTTGCGATGCTCCAGTGGCAGACTAGTTAGAGCTATGAACGGTACTCTACAGTTTCGGTATTAATTCCCGCTACAGCCAACATTCTTCGGATTTACCTGGATTACAGAAGAAAGGGTTTATAAATGGCGGCCCGAGGGCATGCTTTCCCACTTGCAATAAGGTTTTTTACATACGCCAGGCGTTCATGCTTTCTTCCTCCCACTTATGGAATCGCCGCCATTTATAAACTCTTTCTTCTGTGAACCAGGTAGTATTAAAATATTTTCTTCTCAAATAAAACTCGTACATATTGTAAAATAACGTTTTATTTTCGTTCCTCATAATTGTCTTTGAAGCAATTATCGATTATATACGTACAGTCACTTACAATTATTTAAACAGTTACTTATATTTAGACACATTTAACATATAAATAACATACAATCACATTCATCTGGCACTCTTTGTCATATTTTAATGAAATACCTATTTGTGTATAATAATGTTTTTGATGCATCCATTTTATGTGAAGCACTAGATGTATATTTTGCCTCTATAACATATTATATGAATGCGCAGGATGCGGACAACAATGTCGCCAATTTGGTATCCATTCTTTATTTGCGAAAGTTATAGGTACTTGATGATAAGTGTAGGTATCATGATTAAGTCAAATGGATGCATTAAAAATATTTTTTTACAGTGATTATTTCATTGATCTGATCACAATGCAATGACTGACAATTCATATTTTTATTCTAGTTTTAAGTTGCGTATATTTTTGCGTACCTATGTGTAAGATTGCATTATGTATTGCTCTCATCTAATCTGTAGTGTTTGGGTTTGTATCGTAATTGGATTGCAATTGAAAATTCTATGTGGAGATTAAAGAGACTATAGAGATTGGTTGATAAAAGGGTAGCTAACAGTAGTAAGAAAGAATTGTTAATCATGTTGCTTTGTCGTTTAAGCTGGCTATAAATATCTTTATTACATTTTCTTCAAAATTTTGCAATGGTAAACGACGTCTCGTTTGAGATTGCGGTTATGAACCTTAATATAAGAACATCGAGACACAATAGTTAAAAGTTTACGAATATTAGCTTAAGTATACTTACGAAGAAAGCGCAACGCATAGAAATATTTTTACGATAAAATTAAAATGGTCTCTAAATCGCATTTTAATGCCTAAGAGGTAACCACCCTGTGTCATCCATAACGCGTTAAATTCATATACAAATAGCATTCATAGATTAGACTAAATATGAATAAAAACCATTTTATTGAGGTAACTGATCATTGAGAAAAGGATAACCATAACTTGTAGGTATATTTAAAAGTAATATTACTTATAGGTATATATAAGTAATATTACTTACTTACGGAAGATAAATTGATGTCGTTTCTCATACGACTAATTGTACTATGTCATAAATTAAAATATTTTTATTTATTTTTCAATTACAAACATGAGATAGAACAGTTAGTCGTGCGAGAGACGAAGTTGCATGAGATAACAGAAGTTTTATTTAGTAAACCTAATAACAAGCTACAAGAACAATGACAACATGTCAAATACTGAAGAAATGGGACAAGGCTTAAATATGAACAAGAAATTAAAAAAAAAACACGGTTATTTCACTTACAGAGTGCGCTTTAGAAATACAACAGAATTTCGAAGCACGTAAATGTATCGGGAATAGGAAAAGCAAATACTAGTACATGCAGAAATGCACAAAACTGTTTCACAAACGCGTCAATGCTTATGCAAGCATGCAACGCACGCATCCATGCGGCGCAGCCATGCGTGACGACATTGTTTCCTATAGAGGTACAATATGCATTCCTTTTTCTTTGATGTCGCTTCTGCGATTTCGGAGCTTGTTATTTATGACATAATTTAGTGAAATTTTTAGAGTTTAAAAAGTTTCACTTCGTTTAGATTTGGTAAACAGTCGAGGGACAAAAGTAGACATGTAGGCCCTGTACGCACATCGATATTTTTCGCGGGATTTTGTTCTGGCAATTTTATAACACAATTATCTAATCGTATGCAAATATCTTCACATACGGTAAAAAAAGTCATTCTATGCAAAATGAAGGTGAATTAAAATCGCGAGACTTACAAATCGCTTTACGAACAGGGCCTTAATCTTTTATCAAATCTAAACAAGTGAATCATCATAATGAGTATAATACAAGATCAGTGACTATTATTCGTTTTAAAATGTTACTTTTAATGACGAATTTTCCTTCTTTAAATGTTTAATAATTAATATTTATTACGTTGCACAATAAGACACTTACCTATAATTTAATTTTCACATAATTTATTATGTATTTGAATAAATGTATTATTTTCTATGTATAATTGTGGTATAATAGACAAATATATTTTTCGTGTATTTTCACTAAACGTAGCTGCAAGGATTTCCAAAACTTTACTTTATTTTCTTCTTAATAAAATGGCAAAAGCTGTACAAGACCATCAAAACTTATCCTTTCCGAAGTAGGTGTTCTAAACTTAGAATCGTATTATGACTACAAAACTTTCGTTTCATTCAAAGGACGCGTGAACTTGCATGCGATACCCTTCAGTTCTACACGTCAAATTACTGTCAATTCTGATTAGCTAATAGGTATTTGAAAAACCGTCGTAACTACGTAGCGAAGAAAATCACGAACTAACTACAGTTTTGGTGTTTGATCCTTAAGCCGGCCTGGACGGACTATTTAGTCCTCAGGAACACTATACTATAGTCCGTCAAGTTCGTGCGCGACCTTCCTGCGGGGTACAGACGGTGGAGGGGCGAGGAAGCACGTCATTTTAATATGACGTGCGGCGAGGATGCGCGCTTCTCCCTTCCCCGCTACACCCCCCGCTACCCGCTGACATCTCCCTCCCCAACGTCTGTCACCCCTAGGGAGGGTCGCGCACGAACTGGACGGACTATAGTTTATAATACTAATTTATGATGTATAGTCACATTATTATAATAACATCAATATTATTTTAGAAGTTGCCGACCTATCGATAGTAGAGATGAGAAAAATATTTATCAATTTCTTCTATCGAGAGTTCCGCGACTTAAAAATTATAATTCTACTAAATGGCTTTTCAGCCTCAATGAAAAATTAAATTCCTTTTGCATCGATTTCGTCAATATTTACAGCCTTACGAATACTTTGGTTCTAAATTATGACTATTTATTTACAATAAATGCATGAAAGTATTGGCAGATTGCTATTACAATGAATTTCAAAGAAGTATGTGATACTTACTTGGTGAATGGTGATACGCTGTCTGAAATTAGTCTGGAATAATACGCAAACCTCGTTCTTGAAGATATCTACCAATTTTATTTTTATAATATTTTTCCAGTAGAAACTTATGAAGTACGTCTCTTATTATTTACTTCCTACTTATTTACTGCTGAAGATTTTGAGTATTTCTGTTGAAGTGAATCACATTCATTTATTAAAAATATACAGTCTACACATATATCTAGCGATTCTTAAATTGGTAAGTACTTCTAATTTTCGTACCGTATTAACTTATTACTTTCTTAATTAAAGTACCTAATAAATAATATTACATACATAAAACAAAATATTATAAAATTAATTCTGCTTTTTGGTAGGCACTTTGGTAATTATGAAAGATTTTATTTCTCGTTTTGTATTCTCAAGAAAACTAGAATCAGAATGATAAGATAATTATAGTAGTTTTACTGAATGGAACTGTCAAAGTAAAATGAAATAATTCATGTACTTATTAAAAATACCCCTGAATCATGAAGACTTTGTCAAATTGATTTATGTACTAACAAGATTATTTCTTTGTAGTTTTATCTAAATTGAAAAATACCTAAGTATAAGTCGCTTGGAGGCGAGCAGCAAGAGATTGAAGTTTGGCACGCATCGATCGGTGCTTCGATAGCTCTGTGGCAGAGCGTTGGGGCGTAGACCTATGCGGCCCGGGTTCGTGCCCCGGTCGATGCATGACATTTTTCAATTTCATATTTTCTTTTTTGTAAATCTAGAGCTTCTTCTAGAGCTTAAATGTAAGTACTGAGAGCTTGCCGGAAATCGTGCAGAGCTGCTAGAAGTTGAGGAGCTGTGGGTCGAGTAGATGGAGACAGAGTCCAACACCAAGACATAAGCCCATACCTGGTGGAGAGATTGTTTAATTGGATTTATTTTTATATTTGATTTTTTAACATTCTTCTTCTTATTTAAGAGCTTATTGCTCTTGTCGGTGGAGTAACCGCCAGTTATCTCTGTCTTGCACCTTTTCCTTGACCTCCTTATACGACTTGACCATTAACATTAACTAATCCTTATTAAGTTAAACACTACCTAATGATTTTGCAACTTCCTCCTTGAAATCGGTTACTAAAAGACCAAGTGACATTCATTATATAACAGGATGGGTAATATTATTGGGCACAGCACATGTTGCCCAGTTGGGAGATAAGTGAGCAACAACCCAAAACTTCTCGTTTTTGCTGATATTTCGATTTTTTTATGGTAATTTTCCACTTCTATATTAAGTAGATAAACTTCCGTAATTGATCTTCTAACTGGTCTATTACCACTTGGTGAACCCAGTCCACATTAAAACCATTTTCTCACTTGGCACTAGTATACTCCCCACATTCCTAGATACATTTTCCTAATTTGATACGGCTGAACAACTTAAGAAAAGCTAGCTGAAACTTTTTATTTTCCACTCTATCTTAAAGAAAATATCTCGAAGACTAACAACAAGCGCCGGCTGTGTTAGTTCTGTATCCCCCAACTTATAATGATGCGAGAAAGTCAAACGTGAAGTCGAAGTAGGTCGAAACTAGTTCGCGAAGAATATTTTTATCTTCTGCTAAGGAAGGATAGAGGATACTATTGTTGCGTTGGGAAAATTCAATGTAGACATCAACGAAGACACTGTAGTTAATTAAAGTACCTACTATGCCTAGCCTTGATGAAATAATAAGTAAGTATAAACAAAATACAAATTGAAAATGTATTTAATGAGCTGGGTCTCACACGTACTGCAATTACTTGTGTTAGTTTTCAAATAACATGCGTGTTGCCGCATTGACTCCTTGCGGCCAGATTAGTACCTTTATCTACCACAATAAACCCACAACATAGTGCGGCACAGGTTTTTGATCACCTTGGTTTCATGTCACAAAATTCATAAAGCAAAAATCTTGCAGACTTTCAATAACTTATACAATTCATCTGTTCTCATCTCATTCTAGTTCAGCCAACGGGCTCGCTTCAAGAGTTGCAAGCTCCTAAAGAGTTGCTCAAAGTGACCACTGTATGGAAGGAATCATCCAGTCAAATACCTACAATTCATCTGGACAATCATGCGGCTGGCTGGTCTGTAGTACCCACTGAAGATGGGTCCCACATCAGTTGCATCCAAATCCGTAAACTGACTTGTTCCGTGGGATGCTAGTTCCCAAATAATTACTCAAAATGACCACTATTTGAACTGAACCACGTAGAAAAGTACTTACAATTCATCTGGACAATTATGCGGCTGAGCGGGTCTGTATCCTCCACTGAGGAAGGCTCCCACATCTGCTGCATCTAGTTCAGCTAACGGGCTCGCTCCAAGAGTCGCTAGTTCCCACAGAGTTACTCCAAGTGACCACTGCATGAAAAGAAAACAAAGTAAATGAACACATATAAAGTAGTATGTTAGAACATTGTCTGCTAGTTTCACATCACATCAGCCTATTGCAGTCCACTGCAGGATTTAGGACGTAGGCTTCTTACAGAGTACGCCACACCACAAGACACGATCTCCCGTTTTCTCCAACCCGTAGCTACCAATCGCCGTCTTTAAGTATGTATGTCCATCTGGCCGGAGGGCGTCCAACACTACGCTTTCTAATGCATTAGATTCATCAACTTTTATCAATATTTAACGTTTTCTAATGAAACTATAACTTAGTAGTTGTAGTATAGGTAGAGGTTCTGCAACAGTGTATCCGGGGTCATATTCAGTTGTTTCTTTGGCAGTGATTCTCTCCAGAAAACAGGTTGCGCGACATTCCATTTTCTGTCAGCTTCAGCTGTAGTGTGTTATCCGCAGTCAACCATTAAAAGATTTCTTCAACAGACTAGCAGAAATGCCCCTACGGATACCTAAACTTACTTTTTCCTGGTCACAAAAGCTCCAGCCATTGAGTGCTCTGCATAATCATGTCTGTAATATTAAACTATCCCTTACCACATCCGAAGACGTAGTATAGAGTAGGGTTTTCTACCCGGGTACCCGGGTCCGGGTATACCCGGGTATTCCAGTCTTTTGGTACCCGGGTACAAACGACGGGCGTACCCGGGTACCCGAGAAAGAGAGATCCCACCCAAAACATAAATGTGAAAGGCTGCCAAGTTCGATAATATTGGAATGCTTCGCCTATAAAAGAAGTGAGATATAAATAAGTACCAAGTTCCATACACAGACCTCAGTTAAAAATAGTTACAGGAATGCACACTTGATTTTTCGCAGTTTGGAAATAAGCGGAACAAGTTTCCAAACTGCGGAAAATCAAGTGTGCATTCCTGTAACTATTTTTAACTGAGGTCTGTGTATGGAACTTGGTACTTATTTATATCTCACTTCTTTTATAGGCGAAGCATTCCAATATTATCGAACTTGGCAGCCTTTCACATTTATGTTTTGGGTGGGATTTCATTTATTTTTGTAAGGTTTATTTTCTTTTTTTTCTTATGATTAAGTTAGGTAAGGAAATATCTCATTTATACTTTACTTTGACTAAATACAAACCATCGTAACGAATTTTAGGTCGGTACGACGATTGGAAGATATAGATAAATTTTTTGTTTTAGTTCCTTAGGGGTAGGTATGAATTTACACCTTCATTATTTTTAAAACCGACTCACACTTGGCCATTTTCAGATTTTTTCCTTTACCTTGACCTAAAGACCTACCTCCATGCCGAATTTCAAGTCGAAACGACCATTGGAAGTGGTCTAGGTTTTTGATGAGTGAGTCAGTCAGTCAGTCAATCAGTCAGTCAGTGAGTGTATAGTAAAAATAGCGATTTTCTGACGTCAATATCTCAAGACCTACAATAGGTACATTAATGAAATTTTGTATTTTAGATAAGTAAGTAGATCTCGACAGATACTAGAAATTTCATATGCGTAGATAAAATAGATTTTGAGTTATAGGTGGGTCGAACTTGGCCCGAAATGGTTCGTGTAATATAACCCACGGCCGGTGTGTCGCTTTTTTTGCTCGAACTTAGCGGACACACTGCCGTGTGTCTAGATAAATAGACTGATTTAATACAAACAAAAGAGAGAAAAGATTAAAGGGTATCATTTTCAAAAATATTATTCGTTTTAATAAGTTGTTTTATACATCTGTAAGCTCATGTGAGCTTGTATATATAGACTTACAGTCGGGGCCAAAAGAGCATACCTAGTTGGGATTTTTAGTTCTATGGCAAGAAATTTAACGCCATCTTGCTGTTATTAATAGTATCACCTCTGTAACTGCATAGACACATTTTGATAGGTACTAATTATATCTCTAGATGGCGCTGCAATCAGTTCCCAATTGAAAAAAATAAGTTCTTATTTATTCTAACCGTTCACCCGGAGATACTTAATATGGCAAATTTTAGTACGGTTAACAATTTGGTATCTCACACAACACGTTTTCGTTATGGTTTTGATTTTGCCAATCATAAAAAGCAGTGGTCCAGGTAAGATACGAACCCAGACCTCATCAGATTAAAAGCGTCAACCTATAACCGCTGGGCTATGTCTGCTTAGTGACTCATGTTGAAAAAGTCAATATAATAAGCCGATTCATCGTCAGCACTGCCGTAAGTCTTGCAAAATATGACCGTAGGTAGAGCTAAAAGAGGGTAGTATAGTATAATTATCATACGGTTCGAGCTCAAATTTATTATTTATTATTTTGGTGTATAAAGACATTGTAAGAATCATTTGGTTGTGTTTATAATCTAACAACGTTGGTTGTTTACAATAACGAATTATTTGTGCAATATCAGTGCTTCTTGACAATAAGAAATAGTTGCATTTCACAGCAAATATAAACATTGTTCGGAAATATCTAAATGCTAAGAATAACGGTAAGTGAAGTGAATACAGTTTAATTTTTGTTTCGAATCAATAAATAGTATAACAAACGGTTAAATTTTAACAAACATTTTGTTTTAGATCGACACTATGAAACTATAAGTCTAAGTTCCAAAACCCACAAAATATATCGCTGTATGCTTTGGTGATCATTGCCTGGGAGAATTTAGTGCTTTTAATAATATCCAGTTGCACTGAAGGCGTCATATTCACCAATCATAGGTCGTCAAGGAGTTGACGTGAAAATGATTTAGTAGCTTTGACCACTGGTTATAAATCACAACGAAAACTTATGGAACTTGAAGGTCTCAAGATGTTATAAGAGAAATAAGAAGACAGAAGAAATATTGAAGACAGGGAAATATTTGTGATTTCAATATTAATAAATAACTGGTTTTATCAATGAATGCAAGGCGTAATTACCCAACGGTTTATTAATTTTAAAGTATTTCGGGCATTTATTATAAACAGATATTACTTTATTGCATACTAAGATAAATTTTGTATATTTATTTATTTCTATAATATAAAGCTTCCTGCACACTATACTGACGGCCAAGTTATAAAGCGCATAACACCTTTGCGCGAGGCGCCCGTGCTGCCGTCTATCGCTCATTTGTTACTCGTATCGTATTGTTATTAAAAATGCTTTGGATCTTCCGTCAGCACAGTGTGTAGGAACCTTAATTTGCTGTTGCTAAGAAAAGCAGGTTACGTTTCAATCCTCTTTTCAAATATTATTGAAAACGAATACTTAAGCGTTAACCTGCTATCGAAAAATATATATTTATAACTGGATTTTGTTATTATTTAATATTACTTAGGATAATAAGAAAAAAATAATCAGT